TCAAATCGAAAAGCAACTATTTAAAATCATTTTACAATTTATTTTATGAATGATAGGAAGAGCAAAATCAACTGTTGTAAATACAACCTCTTAACATCCACCCAGCATTGAAATGTATATATGAACACTTGAAATTTTTTATGATAAATTAATTTATATAAACACACAGTTGAAGTTATTAGCCCTCATGAATTATTAGCCCCCCTGTGTGTGTGTGTGTGTGTGTGTGTGTGTGTGTGTGTGTGTGTGTGTGTGTGTGTGTGTGTGTGTGTGTGTGTGTGTGTGTGTGTGTGTGTGTATATATGTATACAGTTGAAGTCAGAATTATTAGCCGCCATGAATTATTAGACTCCCTGTTTATTTTTTCCTCAATTTATGTTTAATGAAGAACAGATTTCTTCAACACATTTCTAAACACATAGTTTTAATAACTCATTTCTAATAACTGGTTTATTTTATCTTTGTCATGATGACAGTAAATAATATTTTACTAGATATATTTCAAGATACTTCTACAGCTTAAAGTGACATTTAAAGGCTTAACTTGGTAAATTAGGTTAACTAGGCAGGTTAGGTTAATTAGGCAAGTTATTGCATAACGATGGTTTGTTCTGTAGACAGTCGGAAAAAAAATTGTTTTTAAAAAAAATAAAAAACGGCTTTTATTCTAGCCGAAATAAAACAAATAAGACTTTCTCCAGAAGAAAAAATATTTTCAGACACACTGTGAAAATTTCCTTGCTCTGTTAAACATCATTTGGGAAATATTTTAAAAAGAGAAAAAAAATCTAATGGGGGCTAATAATTCTGACTTCAACTGTATAGTTTGAGTCAGAATTATAAGCACCTCCTGAATTATTAGTCCCCCTGTTAATTTTTTCCCTAATTTCTGTTTAACGAAGAGAAGATTTAAAAAAAACATTTCTAACCATAATAGTTTTAATAACTCATTTCTAATAACTGATTTATTTTATTTTTGCTATGATGACAGTAAATAATATTTGACTAGATATTTTTCAAAACACTTCTATACAGCTTAAAGTGACATTTAAAGGCTTATCTAAGTTAATTATGTTAACTAGGCAGGTAAGGGTAATTAGGCGAGTTATTGTAAAATGATGGTTGGTTCTATAGACCATTGAAAACAAATAAAGCTTAAAGGGGCTAATAATTTTGTCCTTAAAATTATTTAAAAAAAATAAATAGCTGCTTTTATTCTAGCTGAAATAAAACAAATAAGACTTTCTTTTAAATAATAAAATATTATCAGACATACTGTGAAAAATTGTGTGTGTGTGTGTGTGTGTTTTTTTTAGAACTGTTTTTTTCCAACCAAAAAAAAAGAAGACAATATATATATATATATATATATATATATATATATATATATATATATATATATATATATATATATATATATATATATATATATATATAAATGTTTTTTCCTTTACAATCTTTAGGGTCAATATTATTAGCACCTTTCCGATTGTTTTTTTTCTTATTAGCTATATATCAAACCCCTGTTGTCCAACAACTTGCCTAATTAATTTTACTTTATAACTAACAAAATACTTGGAATTTATTTTAAATAATTAAAATTTCGAAAGAGGGCTAAAGAGATATATAAAGAATATGACACTATACAAAATACAAAACATGTATAAAGTGGCCACAATTAGGTAACATACATCTACAAAATATATATGCAATACATTAAAAAGTGTTACTGTAAAAAAAAAAAAGCTTTGACCACAGGTTAATGTTTTAATCATAGACTTGTTAAACAGAGTTGAAAATTTATTTGCAAGTAAACTTACCAACAAATTCTTTAGTAGCTCTAAACTTAGCTTGAAGAGTAAGTTCACCCAAAACTGAAAATGAACTCACTATATACTCCCCCTAGTGTTTCCAAATTTAAATTGAGCACAAAAGAAAGAAAATATTTTTAATAAAGCTGGAAACTTGTGACCATTGACTTCCATAGTAAAAAAATAATAATAATACTAACGAAGTCAAGAGTTCATGTGCAACAGAGTAAAGGAACTCAAAGAACTTTGGAAGAAGTGGAGGATGAGTAAAAGATGACATCATTATTAGTTTTTGGTGCGCTGTCCCTTTAAGTTAACCCTTTTGGTGCAACCCACCCATTATGTTTCCAAACATTTGATTGTTAATGTACTGTCTTTGAGTTTTTAATGTATAAATTATTCAAATACTTTAAACATTTTGGCAATAAATGAACCTGGGGTGTTTCTTAATTATTTAATTCTTACATTTACAGTGTGGAGTAATGTTTTCATTGATGTGTTTCCTCTACAGAAGCAGAGGTCTGGACATGTGGACGGACGTTTGCTGCGGACAGGTAAGACCTCATGCTCGTTTTTGTGTTTTGTGCTATCGGTTACCATCACTTCCTTTCTGGAGGGCCATGCCCTCTAGAAAGGAAGTGATAGTAACCGAAACGGGGAGAGAAGGGACGGGGGTCCAATTTTTTATAGAGCTAAAAAAAATTTTTTAGTAAAAAGCAGCATAACCCCTGCTGTACATGGCCCCGAAAGTCAGGGGAGGAGCTCTTCATCCTCCCCCTTCATTCACACCGACACTCACACATATCGCAGTGATCTGGCTGGGATTGAACCAGCAACCTCTTAACCCTTGAGGCAATGCTCTACCACTGAGCCACAGTCACATACCTAATGATGTGCTGGAACTAATATTTGACCATTGAACTGCGTGAACAAGCAATTAAAGTTTGTATGGGGTTTGAACCCAGGGATTTACCCACCAAACCTCTCACACTGAGAATGGTTTTGTTTTACTTAACATACAGCTAACCAATCATGGGATTCAAACTCTGGTCTCCCTGATGAAAGTCCAGCACTCTATCAACTGAGCAAGCCAGTCAGTTGTATTGCTTAATGCTTTAGCCATGGATTTATGGAGAGCTTTGACTTATTTAACACAAAAGTCGTTCAGGTGTGAGATTCAATCCAAAGCTTTCAGATTTTAATGCAAGTGATTATCCACTGCACCACAGAGCTACTGACACTTGCAGCAGAAGGATTAGGTGATGTTAATGTTTATGTTGATGCCTAACAACTCATAAAAGCATTGCTTAATTTAATGGAGTTAATAACTGGTGCAATTAAGTTATTATTTTTTTTACTTTAACATATAACTATGACTATTTCTCACATGATCGTAATTTTCACTTTTGATTTCAGTCCATTAATTAATGCTTACTAAAGAGACTTTATTGTGAAGTGTTACCTATTGTACTTGAGCAATTTGATTTGTTTTAATTATTTATTTACTCAAATTGTGTATGCACAGCAAAACAATACAACCAAGTATTGTTTTGTCATTATATCTGCTAAGGTAATTTTTAAAATTGCAACAAGAAATGCTGATGCTATTTCAGTAGTCAAGTTTTGACTGTGTTCTTATTTGTATTTACCACACTTTCACCAGTAGGTGTCAGAGCTTAAGGTGTGTAGAACATTCAGGTCAATTCAATTCAGTTCAGTTCAGTTGAGTTCAATTGATTCAAAGTTTTGGAAAGCTCTGCTCTTCACATGTAAAATATGGAGCTCTGTAGGTCCCCAGGACTGGATTACTAAAACAGTTACTGTTGTAGATCCATTCCAACAGAAGTTGTAATCATGCAATAAAAAAAGAGGGAAACATGAGGTTATTTAACAAATGTTGCTTTATTGACTTGAATTCCAACTGCATGGTTGCATTAATGCTGTACTCAGTGAACAAAAAAGCATGTACATTTTATTTTTCCCTTCAGAATTAAGAGTTTGCATGTCATTATTCTGATTTTTCTTTATCACAATTTGGAGTTTACATAATAATTATGTCTTTTTGTCAAATTGTTTGATGCAAACCTGCAATTCTGAGGAGAAAAATGTAAATTGTGAATTATAAATCTGTAAAAAAGAGATTTGGAAAAAGTTAATAACTTTTTTGTTTTTCATTCTGTGGAAGCAGCATGTTTCCATAATCTAAGGCAAACTATACAAATAATCAGACTTTTAAGATCAGTTCACGTTACCTGTCTTCTCGACCAAAAAGTATTAATGCAAAAATGTTGGTTTGACTGACAAAAATAGATCTTGTGGTACATAAATAACCCTTTATAATTTCTTTATAACATTCCCACTACAATTAATGTATATTCACCATGAAATTATATTAATCAGGTTATGAAAGTGCATCCAGCTTCAACAAACTAATGACAGAAAAATGCTTCCACTAACTAGTGTTGGACATTAATACAGATACACTTACTGTCAACCAGGCGGAGCTGAAACACTGATCTGATCTCATGCATTTCTGTGTCTGAATCTGTAGACTAAATGTACTCTAAATGCACTTAAAATCTGCAAACACTGACACAACAGTGTGAAACTGTGGTTTTAACTGTGCCCAAGCATTATGAATATTACTGCAAATAAGTAAACAAAAACATACATCGACATAAAACTTGCACATGAACAAATATCGTTGGAGTTTTGACTGTTTACACACCGAGCACATTTGAGTTGAACACGTTTGATCTGTTTTACTGTATCGTTTAAAATAAATTTACCCAAACTGCTAAAAACACACGTTGCTTTACATGTCGAGACGCTGCAATAAATCATCGAGTTGCTTTCAAATGTTTTATTCATTTCTCAGCCCTCTTACCTGCGACTGAACACCTCGATTTCATTATCTGAACAACAGTAACTCATCATCCACAAGAGGGCGCTGACGACCACAGCTTGACATATTTGGCACATGACATTGAGCTATTTAACCTAGTGAATTCATTATTTTGTTCTGGGTGTGTTGTTCAACGTTTTTTTTTAGTTGAAATATCTGGAATTTAAACGACCTATCAGGCTTAAATTAACAAGACTTTAACACTGTAACTCGTACTCTTAGACACTGTAGTGCAATTTTTCATCCGCTCCACCAGGTGGCGCGTGTGGTTTCTCGTTCACTCTGAATCACAGCTTCAGGATGTTGACAGTGTGACGTTTGTTTTGATGCAGCAGCAGCAGCACGAGTGTACAGTTTTAAACACATAAACTGAAGATGACAGCTCAGTGACAGTGTTTTAGTGTTAATAAACAACATTTAATGCAGTCCGACAACTAAAAGAACCACAACACGCTGAGATAAAGGACAGAAATGCAGTGAAAAGCGACTCACCTGTAAGTAACTGTACAGTATTTCTCCTGCATTTCCTCATTAAGTCTTTATTCTTTGTACTTCAGTCGCAGTTAAGTTCATGTTTAGCACATGTTGAAGTGTCTTTAGTGATATGTTTAAGCAGAGCTCTCCTGTTTGTTAAACAGCTTTGTTTACATGCTGCTCTCTGTCACTGTCAGACATTTAGGAGCAAATGAATTGGTAACTTAGTTGTTGTTGTATATGTGAAGGATCTGAGTTAAACAGCCTCTCATTATAAAGTAGAACAAAACATAATGTGTGTCAACTAGTCAGTTTGTGTAGCTCTGGTGTTCTGCTGTGTTTGTAGAGCTTTCACAGGCAATATTTAGGCTGTAAATGTGTATAATTCTGAATTATTAACTGTAATATCTGTCAGAGTGTGATGTTTAGATCTGCTGTTTGACAGTGTCTTTATTTCTGTTTCCTTTAGAGATTGAGGGATGTGTTTGGACCGTACAGTCAACAGAAGCAGAGCTCCGGGACGTTTGGACTACGTTTACTGGCGTGATGGACGTCTTCTGCGGACAGGTAAGACCTCTCGCTCGTTTTTGTGTTATGTGCTATCGGTTACCATCACTTCCTTTCTGGAGGGTCAACCCCTCTAGAAAGGAAGTGATGGTAACCGAAACGGGGAGAGAAGGGACGGGGGTCCGGATTTTTATAGAGCTAATTTTTTTTTTAGTAAAAAGTAGCATAACCCCTGCTGTACATGGCCCCGTAGGTCAGGGGAGGAACGTTTCATCCTCCCCCTTCATTCACACCGACACTCACACATATCGCAGTGATCTGGCTGGGATTGAACCAGCGACCTCTTAACCCTTGAGGCAATGCTCTACCACTGAGCCACAGTCACATACCTAATGATGTGCTGGAACTTATATTTGACCTGTTCACCTGTAGGTGAGGCAAAGAGCAAAAGTGAGCATGGATTCTGTGGGGTTTGAACCCAGCTCTTACTGATGCAGAGTTTTAGTCTTTGAGCCTCTTGCTCTACCAGCTGAGCAATTGAAACTGTTGTTTTATCTCTTGTCTTTGGCCAGGGTTTTATGGATAGCTTAGTCGTATTTAATATAAAAGCTCATGCAGATACGGGATTGGAACCAAAGTTTTCTGATTTGGAGTCAAACAATTACTCACTGCTCCACAGAGTTTGTGGCAGTGTATTTTATATTTGGGTCTTGTATATTTTTATACTAGACATCAGTAAGGCAAATATATATTGGTCACCTGCACGTGTGGGATTCGAACCAAAACTTTCTGAGTCATGGGCAAACAATTATCCACTGCACCACTAAGCTTACAATAACTCATGGTGTTTTTCTGTACACTTTTATCAGGAAAACATTATGAAAACCTGCATTTGTGGGGTTCGAACCAAAATCTTTCTGATTCACAAGCAAATGATTATCCACTGCGCCAAAGAGCTTTAAATGTTTTGATTTGCTGACTTGCATATCTTTTATGTGTGAGGAAAGGTGAAGAAATCCTGCGTTTGTGGGATTTGAACCAAAACTTTCTAATGCATAGAGAAACGATCATCCAGTGCGCCACTGAGTTTGAGATGTTGTGTAGCTTCCTTTTGTATGTTTTTATTGGTAAAACAGATGAAGAGAACTTGCATTGTGAGATTCGAACCGAAAACCTTCTGATTTACCGGCAAATGATTATCCACTGTGCTAAAACAATTTTGACGTTCATGGTCTTGTTATGTGGTCTTCCATAGTTTTTTATCTGTTAGAATAGGTGAGGAAAACCTGCGATTTTGAGATTCGAACCTAAACTTTCTGATTCATAGGCAAATGATTAGCCAGTGCACCACTAAGCTTGAGATGTTCTGTAGTTTCCTTTTGTATGTTTTTATTGGTAAAACAGATGAAAAAAGCTGCATGCGTAGGATATACTAGTGAGTTTTACTTCTTAAAACCGGTGAAGAGAAGCTGTGGATATGGGATTCAAAACCAAAGTTTTCTGATGTTAAGGTAAGTGACTATCCACTGCACCACTGAGCTTCTGATAACCTGTGCTTTTGATTTAGGCTGAAGAATTATGTCAAGAAAACCCAGAAATCAGCTGCAGCAGGTGTTTTCAATTAAGGTTTTTTTTTTTTTAATTCATACTTGAAATTGCTCTCTGTGAGAGTGAAGTGGCTTGCTCCGGGGCAGCTCAGCACTTACTCCCTCTCACCTTCAGCACCTGTCAGGACGTGGAATCAAACCAGCAACCTTTGGGTTACTAGTCCAACTCACTAACCATTAAGCTAACTTGACTATGCATACAAAGTGGTGACTACAAGCCTCAGATCTTTGTTCAATGGTAATGCTTAAACACTCATGGAATGTTTGTTCAGAATAAGCAGACAATCATCACTTTGTGATGAAGCGGTTGTGTTTTTCAGGGTAATTTATATTTCATTTAGCTAAAACATTATTTATAGAATTTATTTTTATTTTTTTTTTTGTATGAAACACAATCCAATCATGTGTTTGTAAGCCTTTATGTGTTTCACATGTAAACATTAAAAGTTTCAATCTTGTTAAAAGTACAAAAGCGATGTGATTGTTTCTATGTCTTCAAATCTTATAAACAGTGAAGTAGTCCATTTGTTTATTAATGCTCATATCAGCTTGATCAGTTTATTCTGACTACAGAGAGAAATCCAGAACTCCAGTACAGATTTTACACTGCAAACAAATGTTTAATAAAATATGTCATTTCATTAACATCACAAAATCTATCATGCGTTCAATCAAGTGCACACAGCTAAGATCTTCAAGAAACGTACAAAACAATCATGAGGGTCAATAAGATCTTTATTAATATTCACATTTCAAATAAAACCTTGCACAGTCTGTTTATGCAAATCAGTAGCTTTACCAGAATTAAAACACATCAATCATGTACATCAAACCTGTACTGTAGAGCTCAATCAGCTGCTTCAGGTGTTCAGGTTAAAATCACGATCAGACATGAATGCTGCATACACATTGCTGTCCACAAGAGGGAGCTGATCAACTGATCTCATGCCTGTGCCTGTCATTTTAATTAGTAGTAAAAATGCTTAATAACCGATAAAACAATTAATTCATAAACTGTTCATTACCTCATTTTTTAAATCACAAATAAGGCTAAAGAAATATCATTTAAATTACTTCATAGAGTTTATCCCACAAAATTATTTCTACAAAAATTTAAAATTGACATCTGTTTTTGTGAAAGCTTTAATGGAACTATTTCACATTTATTTTGGTCTTGCCAATATACTCGAATATTTTGGATCTATGTTGAAGCTTTTATTGCTCATAATATCTTGAAAACCTTTTCCTTATCTTATAAACATGTGGTTTTGGGATTTTATGTTAAGGATCGCTCTTTAAAAGATGCTGGTTTTATTATAAATTTTATTTTATTATTATGCAAATTTCACATACATAAATCCAAGTTTTCCAAAAGCAAACCTCTCTTCATGGTGTTAGAAAAAGAGATTCAAATGTATATAAAAGGGATTTCCAAGTCTCAAAATAGAAAAGCAATTAAAACAATAATATATGCTCCTCCTTTAACATTTTTACATAAAAATGTTTGTATATTTGCATTTCTTGTAAAAAAAAGTGCAATAATAACTCTTGTTAATAACTGAAATGAGAAAATGTGAGAAATATATTTGTATGTTATTTGATAATTATGTACCCTCCCCCCTATTTTTTTTCTTTCTCTTCTCCTTTACTTTTTTCCCACTTATTTCATTCTTGTTAAGAAATGTAAAGTGATTGTATTGTATAAGAAAACTGTACATGCTGGTTCTTGTTAAAAAAAAAATTAATAGATTATATTTATTGATGGTGATTTTTCATGCACAATTTAATAATCAGGGGTTCACAATATGCTGCAGATCCGTTGAAATGTTTGGAGAAAAACGTAAAAAAAATTACAAGTTATTGGTCAATGACTTGATTCTAAAATATTATTTATGATGAATACATAAATGTGATAATAAGTAATGAAGCAAATAAATGTTAAACAAAAAATACAAATTACATTATTATTGATCATTAAAAAAGAACAAATGAATACTACTACTATAAGGAGCAGAAAAAACAGTGTAAAAGTACTCAAAAACATATCAGGGTGAAAGTACTTGAGTACTTACAGTTTTTTACAATCGTTTTGCTACAAATTTCAGAACTCGTGTAAATTTTCAAAACTCTAGTCACAAAATTCACAGCCATTGTCAAAACTGTACGTTTTTGCAAAACTCTTAACTCTTTTTTTAAATGCTTGGATGCAATACACACAAGTCAAAGATGTTTTGTTCATTGAACTGAGATCACCTATTCAATATAATACAATTAAACATCAAATTGATCCCATTTCAAAATGCAACTCAAACATTACCTTTGAAATAAATGCGTATTCATTTACTTAACATGATGTTATTATCAACTGATACAAGCACTCAAAATGAAAAATAACTGTTGCATTACTCTTGATGATTAGGAACTGTTGATAATTTTACATGTTTAGATGATGAAAGTTTCAGGATAGATCAAATAACATCAGTTACCATAAAAAAATGACCAAACTGGACTACATTCTTTATAGATTTTATCTTTATTCATCCTTATTCTATATTTATGGTTTCTTTGTTCCATGTACCACTTTTACAGACAATGTTTTCAGATTTGACATTACTGGACTGTAAGAAAGCCCAATCAAAGCAGATCAATGTCAGGCCTGAATTCACATTGACTGAAGGTTCTTTCCAAGATTTTTGAGTAATAAAAACACTGTGATGTAGAGGAGAACCTGTGACAAAATCCACAGACCAGACTGATGGAAACACAGATCCCAAAATAGAAATCTGATATATATAAATATATAGAAATTACATATGTGACATAATAGTTCATATGAATTTTACTTATATAAAAAAATGTCATACTGTACATGTCAAAATATTGCCATTTTTTCAACTGTGTAATAGAATTACAAATATATACATATATGTTATGTAAATATATTATCTAATATGTCATATATTTATATATTTTACCTCAACAAACATATTACATATGTGGTTGAAAAAAAATGTAAACAGGGATTTTTGCACTATTTTGACAAATTATTGACTATGACATTTTATATACAGTAGGGTTGTGACGATGAGGAAATTTCTCCACCGGTTAATCGACATGTGACAACACCGGGAATACCGGTATCACCGTGGGGTGGGGGGTTCCTATTTTTTCTGCTTTTAAATAGCTTATAAATGCATGCGTATTATACTTTCACTTTCAGTTTTGCGGGAATTGCCAGTTTGGCATCAATTGTTTAAATGGAAGACAAGGAAACTACAAAAAATAAAAAATAAATCACTGTTATTAAACACAAAACTTTTTTTAACATACCGGAAAAAACACAACAATGCTACAGGCTGAAATAACTGTGGAAGTTGAAACCAAACAAGTAACAACCATAAAACTTTTATTACGTTTTATTACACACTTGTTGCACACACGCAAAGATATACTTTTTGGTTACATTTGCCAACATAGGAGGAACATATTTGGTTGTCTCTTGTTGTCTTACCTAACTTCAATGTCTTAATGTATTAATTAGCCTAATGTATTATATAATAATAGCTTAGTCCTTACGAAAAATCCGTTTATAAAATAGCCTACATTATTAACGAATCTATAGGGTATTGAAGAAAAACCCAATGTGAAATATGATCCTTGCATAATGATCACAACTAAACAAGCTAGCACTTGTTTTACATATAAACTATAAATAAAAAATGAAAGAAATGTTAAGTAATGGAACATTATGTAAAAAATCTAAAGACTACAGGCTAAATAAAAGCGCTTCGTCAGAGCTAAACATCACCACACGCGTGTCAGTTTACAGCTTCTGTAAAGATCAGACAGCCTATACAGATCACACAATCTCAATAAACATGTGAATGTATAAATATTTTGATAAGTATTGTTATGGAATATTTATAACGATATGATCTTGCTTTCGGTTATATCGATACCAGCTTTGAGCCCTCTCTCACAAGCGGCAGTTGACAGGCGCTGCATAAGGGCGTTATACACTGTCAGTGGCGGAATACACTACACAGCATATAGGCTACTCGCAAGATGTTTTATTCTTAGTTTTATTTGTTTCCGATTTGCGTGTTGTTCCTTTTTTTTTAAATGCCTTTTATTTTTAAAATCTCTCAAGTTAATGTTGTCTATCGGGTAACATAATCTCCCTCAGAGATATTAGAGTTAAATAATGTGGTGCGCAGTATGACTATTGACCAACACCGCCCTGTAAGTTTACACACTGCATAGACTGTGGGTCTACAGCTCTGGGCCCTCATGTACGAAGTCTTGCGTGGAAATCATACAAAAACATTTACAGCTTTGTGCGTACGCAGAAAAAATTCAGATGTATGAAACACTGCATATGCCGAATCTCACGCATATTCTTTGTACATCCGAATGAATGTGTAACTGAGCACAACATGCATGAGCGCAAAACCCCTCCCTGCCTAATATGAATATGCTAATGACTCTACTTTGGCGAAACCCATCGAAAAAGCAATGGCAAAAGCAAGCAAGAAGAGAAACTTTGAACAGAATGTGAATTGGAGGTGCTGCTTTCGGAGGCAGACCAGAGAAAAACTGTGTTATTTGCAAGTTTGTCCTCCGGAATTAACAACAAAAGAAAAAAATAGAGTTGGGAGAGTTTAGCTGATGCGGTTAACACAGTTGGGTCTGAACATTGCACTGTGTGGATTAAAAAAAGAAATAATGCGATGTATAGGTGCAAAATGTTGTAGTACCCTTATAAATCGTACCCATTTTGCCTACGATTTATCACGAGAAGGACAAGTAGGAAGTAGTACACAAAGTTTTTGTGCGTACACAGTGTTGATACATAGAGCATAAACGAAAAATGCAATGAATTGTTTATTTTGGTTCTCATTTTATTTGAAATAATATAATTTATAGGCTACACAACTCCTCCATAACATTGGCTCCAATTGCGTTTTGACAGATATCCTAGATAGTCTTTCTGGCTCAAAGACATTTATGCCTGTTAATTTCAGTGCTGTATTTTGACAGATTTCGCAAAAGCTTCAGCTATTCTACCTGTCAGTTGGTACCAGCCTCAGTTTTGTGACTTGACTCGTTAGGCGTCTGTGTCTGGATGACAGCGAGAGAGAGATGAGATCAGACCTCAGATTCGAAGTGGCCGTACGTCAGTTACTTTATTGCAATTTTTAATATAGGCTCATCTAAATTAACTTTTCATTTATTAAAAGCAGAAATATTGCCAGACAGACGAAGCAGCTTTCAGTTTTTGAAGAGAGCATCCTCAGTGATAAAAGCACGCGCACACACAGGTTAGCCTACACTCTTGTCGGCCTATTCATTATTGATTTTTTTTAAACATTAAACGCATAATAATCAAGTGCAAAAAAGAACAGCTGAACTTTGGAAAAAGTGCTCACGGCTGTTGCCGCGATGGTTGCTTTGTTTTTCTACAGTTGGCTTATTAATGGCGTGGCATTGCTAAATCACTCTTGTTTTAATAATAAAAAAAAAGATAATTTATTATTAAACATTGTGGGATGATGGTCGCGTGATTTTTAAAATGAGAGTATGTGTTGCGTATTTATGGCTATTGATTTTATCTACCCGCGACCCACCAATAGTTGAACATATATGTAGATGTGTTGAAAGTGCGTGTATAAATTTGTTGTTTCCTCCAACTGCTGCCACCTTTGTCAGGCAAAGTTTGCAGATTGCCACATTAATGTCTTCAGGTTCTCTTTTTGCATATGGTTCGAACCCAAAATATAGCCAAACAGGCGCTTTTGCATTGCGTTTTGACTCTTAATCATCCGCCATCCTCTTTCTGTAAATTCTACTCCTCTCGTTCTCTTCATGTGATAAATGAAATATGATGCTTTGTAGCTATATTCAGATAATAATTATAGTGCATGCTCTCGTCTTAAGTAAATTATTTAGAATTATGTTTCCCATTTAATTCAAATAAACATTTAATAAAAAAAAATACTTAAAAAACAAAAAACAAATGTGGGGACGGTGTCACTGTGAAAAAGTGATGTCACCGTTGTTGCGTCTTAAAACCGGTATCACCGTCAACACCGTCTAACGTGGCAAGCCTAATATACAGTACGGAATCCAATCGTAAGTTGCATTTGTTGTCATATATCATGCCATATATCAGCTTTCTATATGGGGACGTGCAGTGAGAAAAAAAATACAGTAAACCTACATTATGATGGAATGAGTAAAAGTAGTTCAGTGTATCCACTGTCTGTACTGTTCAACACTTATGTATAAACCATAATAAAACCTGTATCCTATACTTTACTGAACTCTGAAGTGTCTGCGTTAAAAGTAGTGACTGTTTAGAGTTTTGTATGTAGAGTTTTGAAAATTGACATCAGGGTTCTGAAATTTGTGACAAAACAATAAAAAAAACGTTAATACTTAAAAGTAAAACAGTACAGCTTATTTTAACTAAAATATTTATGTTAATTTAGTTATGTTTTGTTATCTTAAGTGTTTATATTTTGAATTTGGAGAGAAAAACACATAACTTTTCCCACAGCTGTAGGTATGCTCGGTTGTGTGCAAGTCTGAGAGTTACACAGATGTAGTTTGGGGTGCAACAGTACCAGGATCGGGACTGTGAAAAAATGAGAGTGCGCAGGGAGAGGAGCAGGCCCACACTGATAAATGAGCAGAGAATTCCACACATAGATCTCAGGGTCAGGGCATTGTGGGAGAAAGTCGTCTCTGGGGGATGAGCTGCCCTTCAAATACAGATAGAAAAAGTCAAAGATGAAAAAAAATAAGTTATCACAAAACACTGGCATTCTAGGGATAACTAATCAGAGCATTCAGAGACACAAAGCAAAATGTCTAAAACATGCAACAGAACAGTGTAAATGAAGGAGAAAGGACTGGTAAATACTTGCATAAAAGAGTCACTATTAGGGCTGCATCAGGTCTTTTTGTATGCAATGCATCTGCAGAAAATATAATCAATGTCATGTATAAATATGCAATAATATCTTTGTCTTTTAATCTTTCATAAATGATCTAATCTGATGATGATCTAATGATCTAAAATGACTCAAATCCAGAGCATAAAGATGCCAGATTAGTGTGTGAGTGTGCGGCCCATTTTATGCTCCCCAAGTGTGCTTTAAAAGTGAACTTCGTAACAATTGTTCATGAGTCACATAAAAAAAAATGGAAAGACTTCGGTAAAGCTAATAGCACTAGATGCTTAAATAAATAAATAAATGAATGAATGAATAAATAAATAAATAGACACTTACCTTAGTCATTTAGACAGTTCCTGTCATCCCTTCACCCTCCCCGTCCTCTCTATTATTTCATCACAAGGGAAACCAGGAAGCCACACCTGTCTTTTCCATATCTGAGAAAGATAAACCATAGCAGGAATTAATAACTGTCATGATAATTATCATTTTCAGCATTCATTTCCTTATGGATCCACCACACACACAAAATGTCCAAGAAAAAGATAATTGTTTATTTATGCCAAAAACGAGACGTCCCATTTTACTGTCGATATCAAATTACATCTACAAAAGTGGTTTATTATTATACATATAACATATATCCAGTGAAAGCAGAGCATCTACTTTAATGTTTCAAATAATGTTTGTAAACCAAAACATCAAAATTCCTTCATCAATTTCAACATTTTTTCATTCAGACGTGTTTGTTAAAGCAATAGTAACTAAACTCTGCAGGACTCTGGCAAACCCATTTTATTTTAAGCAGAATATTCCTACACAGACCAAAATGATTAATTGGACTTGCAATTTTTTTAAGGTAAGTGTTTGCAAAGAATTTATTTGGGCTGAATTTAAACAGATTTAATTGAACATTACTAAATTAAATGTGTTTAAATTCAGCCCATATAAATTGTTTGCAAACACTTACCTTAAAAAAATTGAGTAAATCCAATGAATCATTTTGTACTGGTATGATTACAAAGCTGAATTTTAACCATCATTTCTTCATTCTTCAGTAGCTGGGTTTCCATCCTAAAGCGACTTTTTTATTTTGTTTGTATTATTATTATTTATTTAAGTGTTAGCACAAAAAAGAAAAGAAAAATCACAATTACGTATTGGGTACATTTCCATCAGGTTGTTAGATATGCTGACTGTAGTGTTGGTAACCTAAAAAAAGTAAACAAAGCAAGCTTAGTGGAGACATCTGATTGGTCACATGCCAAATGCATTTCCATCTCCCATTATTCACATTAACACAATTTAGTCCAAAACCAGCGCAAAATTAAAGTAAAAACAGACTTTGTTATTTAAAGAAGTAATTTTTATTCTAAATGTGGCATTTACATCACTCATTGCTCATGAGATGCTTCAAAGTGTGCTATAATGCAGAGTGATGGAAACCCAGTTAGTGTCATGTGATGCTTCAGACAGAATCTGAATATGCTGATACGGTGCTCATGAAGTTCTCATGAAGTTAAACTATAAATTTCTACTCAATAAAAGCACTAATCTTTTACACTGCACAAAAAAGCTTTGTCTTATTTCTAGTCCAAGTAAATAACAATTCTTTCAAGAAGCACTTTCTTTGCAAACATAAAATAAGGTATATTAAATAATTTGCCAGTGGGTTGAGTAAAATAATCTTATTTTAAATCAAAAACAAGATTATTTTACTTGCTCTACTGGCACTGACTTAATTTAGACATCTTATTTCCCAAAACTAAACACTGTTTATTACATGCTTAGAAACCAGTCTTGATTTAAGATTTTATAGATATTTAGACTGGTCTAAACAAAACCCCTAAGAGAAAAAAACATTTGTTGCAGTGTCATTTAAATGTGTCAATAATAGTGGACATATTTGCATAGTTTTCAAATATATACAGTGATAAAAGCTTCATCAATTATTCGCAACAAGAAAAGTTGATCCTATTAGTCTAGTTTTGACTGTTCTTATTTTCATTTACAACATTTTAACCAGTGGGTGTCAGAGCTTGAGGGTTGTAGAGTATTCAGCTCAATTCAATTCAATTCAAGACGATTGATTGAAAGTTTTGGAAAGCTCTGTTCTTCACATGTAAAATATGGAGCTCTGTTGGTCCCCAGGACTGGATTGCTAAAACAGTTACTGATCCATTCCAACAGAAGTTGTAATCATGCAATAAAAAAGAGGGAAACATGAGGTTATTTAACAAATGTTGCATTATTGAATTGAATTCCAAATACATGATTGCATTAATGCTGTACTCAGTGAACAAAAAAGCATGTACATTTTATTTTTCCCTTCAGAATTAAGAGTGTTATTGTCTTTTTGATAGATTTGTGAGCTCGCAATCTCAAATTTGCGTGATGCAAACCTGCAATTCTGAGGGGTAAAATGTACATTGTGAATTATAAATCTGTAAAAAAGAGATTTGGAAAAAGTTAATTACTTTTTTTACAACTGTGTGAAAAAAATATTTGAAAAAAGTGAATTATTGTTTTAATTAGTGAAAGCATCAAATTTCCACAATCTAGGACAAACTATACAATTAATCAGACTGTTAAGATTAGTTCGTTACCTGTTTGCTAAATAACCCTTTATAATTTCTTTATAACCGTCCCAGCAGAATTAAGGTATATTCACCATGAAATTATATTAATCAGGTTATGAAAGTGCATCCAGCTTCAACAAACTAATGACAGAAAAATGCTTCCACTAACTAGTGTTGGACATTAATACAGATACACTTACTGTCCACCAGGCGGAGCTGAAACACTGATCTGATCTCATGCATTTCTGTGTCTGAATCTGTAGACTAAATGTACTCTAAATGCACTTAAATCTGCAAACACTGACACAACAGTGTGAAACTGTGGTTTTAACTGTGCCCAAGCATTATGAATATCACTGCAAATAAGTAAACAAAAACATACATCGACATAAAACTTGCACATGAACAAATATCGTTGGAGTTTTGACTGTTTACACACCGAGCACATTTGAGTTGAACACGTTTGATCTGTTTTACTGTATCGTTTAAAATAAATTTACCCAAACTGCTAAAAACACACGTTGCTTTACATGTTGAGACGCTGCAATAAATGATTGATTGGCTTTTAAATGTTTTATTCATTTCTCAGCCCTCTTACCTGCGACTGAACACCTCGAGTTCATGATCTGAACAACAGTAACTCATCATCCACAAGAGGGCGCTGACGACCACAGCTTGACATATTTGGCACATGACATTGAGCTATTTAACCTAGTGAATTCATTATTTTGTTCTGGGTGTGTTGTTCAACGTTTTAAATTAGTTGAAATATCTGGAATTTAAACGACCTATCAGGCTTAAATTAACAAGACTTTAACACTGTAACTCGTCCTGTTAGACACTGTAGTGCAGTTCTCCATCCGCTCCACCAGGTGGCGCATGTGGTTTCTCGTTCACTCTGAATCACAGCTTCAGGATGTTGACAGTGTGACGTTTGTTTTGGTGCAGCAGCAGCAGCACGAGTGTACAGTTTTAAACACATAAACTGAAGATGACAGCTCAGTGACAGTGTTTTAGTGTTAATAAACAACATTTGATGTAGTCCGACAACTAAAAGAACCACAACACGCTGAGATAAAGGACAGAAATGCAGTGAAAAGCGACTCACCTGTAAGTAACTGTACAGTATTTCTCCTGCATTTCCTCATTAAGTCTTTATTCTTTGTACTTCAGTCGCAGTTAAGTTCATGTTTAGCACATGTTGAAGTGTCTTTAGTGATATGTTTAAGCAGAGCTCTCCTGTTTGTTTAAACAGCTTTGTTTACATGTTGCTCTGTCACTGTCAGACATTTAAGAGCAAACAAATTGGTAACTTAGTTGTTGTTTTATATGTGAAGGCTCTGAGTTAAACAGCCTCTTATTATAAAGCAGAACAAAACATAATGTGTGTCAACAAGTCAGTTTGTTAAGCTCTGGTGTTCTGCTGTGTTTGTAGAGCTTTCACAGGCAATATTTAGGCTGTAAATGTGTATAATTCTGAATTATTAACTGTAATATCTGTCAGAGTGTGATGTTTAGATCTGCTGTTTGACCGTGTCTCTATTTCTGTGTTTCCTTTAGAGATTGAGGGATGTGTTTGGACCGTACAGTCAACAGAAGCAGAGCTCCAGGACGTTTGGACTACGTTTTCTGGCGTGATGGACGTCTTCTGCGGACAGGTAAGACCTCTCGCTCGTTTTTGTGTTATGTGCTATCGGTTACCATCACTTCCTTTCTGGAGGGTCAACCCCTCTAGAAAGGAAGTGATGGTAACCGAAACGGGGAGAGAAGGGACGGGGGTCCGGATTTTTATAGAGCTAATTTTTTTTTTAGTAAAAAGTAGCATAACCCCTGCTGTACATGGCCCCGTAGGTCAGGGGAGGAACGTTTCATCCTCCCCCTTCATTCACGCCGACACTCACACATATCGCAGTGATCTGGCTGGGATGGAACCAGCGACCTCTTAACCCTTGAGGCAATGCTCTACCGCTGAGCCACAGTCACATACCTAATGATGTGCTGGAACTTATATTTGGCCCTCTGTAGGTTGGCCAGAGTGCGAAAGTGAGCAGAGCTGGGCCTTGAACCCAAGTCTTTCAGACAGCCTTGGCCATTGAGAGCTTGTGTTCACCCAGCAGCGCCACTATGGCACTCACAGTTAGCATTGACGTTTATAGCACTTTGTTGTATGTAATGATACTCAGTCAATGTGGGATTCAAACCCAAAACATTTTGGTTTACAGGCAAACGATTATCCACTGCACCAAAGAGCGTACAAGGTTCCCTGCTTGTTTTATGGGGTCTTCTATGTGTTTTTATTTGTAAGGAAAGGTGAAGAGAACCTGCATTTGTGGGATTGGAACCTAAAACATTCTGATCCACAGGCAAATGATTAACCACTGTGCCAAAGGGCTTTTGATGTCCTAGATGTTGTTATACTTTCTTGTACATATATTTATATCTGCAAGGAAAAAGTGAAGGGAACCTGCGTTGGTGGGATTGGAACCTAAAACATTCTGATTCACAGGCAAATGATTAACCTCTGCGCCAGAGGGCATTTGATGTCATATGTGTTGATATACGGTCTTGTACATATATTTATATCTGCAAGGAAAAAGTGTAGGGAACCTGCGTTGGTGGGATTGGAACCTAAAACATTCTGATTCACAGGCAAATGATTAACCATTGCGCCAGAGGGCATTTGATGTCATGTGTGTTGATATACGGTCTTGTACATACATTTATATCTGCAAAGAAAAAGTGAAGGGAACCTGTGTTTGTGGGATTGGAACCTAAAACATTCTGATCCACAGGCAAATGATTAACCACTGCACCAAAGAGTTTTTGATGTCCTATATGTTGTTACACAGTCTTGTAAATATATTTCTATTTGCAAGGAAAAAGTGAAGAGAACCTGCGTTTGTGGGATTGGATCCTAAAACATTCTGATTCACAGGCAAATGATTATCCACTCAGCCAAAGAGCTTACAATGTTTCCTGCTTATCCAAACTTTCTGATTCATAGGCAAACGCTCATCCACTGCACCCTTGAGCATGACGTTGTGTTTGGTCCTGCTTTTGAATGAAGAATAGCTGTGGAAATGGGATTCAAAACCAAAGGTTACTGATGTGAAGGTAAGTGATTATCCACTATGCCATAGAGCTTGTGATGTGCTATATATCGTTTAAGAGTCTGATATATTCCTATAGATAAAACAGGTTTCGAAAATCTGCCCATGTGGGATTTGAACCCTGTCTTACTGATTCAATGGCAAATGATTTGCCTCTGCGCCACTGAGCTTCTGATAACCTGTTCGTTTTAATTCAGGCTAAAGAATTATGTCAAGAAAACCCAGAAATCAGCAGCAGCAGGTGTTTTCAATTAAGGTTTTTTTTTTAATCCATAGTCATTATTGCACTCTTTGGGGCACTCAAGCTCTCTTGTTAAGTGCCTTGCTTATTAGCAGGTCAGCTGTTTACCGCCCTTCAACACCTGTCAGGACAGAGAATCAAACCAGCAACCTCTGGGTTACCAGTCCAACTCACTAACCATTAGGCTAACTTGATTATGCATACTTATGACTGCTCTCTTTGAGGGTTAAGTGGCTTGCTCATGGACAGCCCAGCCCTCCTGTCAGGAGTGGGAATCAAACCAGCAACCTCTGGGTTACCAGTCCAACTCACTAACCACTTGGCTAACTTGATTACGCATACAAATCTATGAGCTTAGTCATAGGATTGAAACCAAGATGTTTGTCAGTAATGGTTGTCTGTTTTTTTTCTGAACAGAGTTATGTTTTTCAGGGTGATTTATATTTAATTTAGCTAAAACATTGTTTATAGAAATATTGTTTTTGTATGAAACACTATCCAATCATGTGTTTGTAAGCCTTGATGTGTTTCACATGTGAACTAATTAAAAGTTTTAGTCCCTTTGTTGAAAGTACAGAACCAATGTGATTGTGTTTTTTATGTCTTCAAATCTTATAAACAGTTAAGAATAAATCCTCAGATTTGTTTATCAATGCTCATATCAGCTTGATCAGTTTATTCTGAACTCCAGTCCAGATTTTACACTGCTAACAAGCGTCTAATAAAATATGTCATTTCATTAACATCACAAAACTATCATGTGTTTAATCAAGTTCACACAGCTAAGATCTTCAAGAAACGTACAAAACAATTATGAGGGTCATTAAAATCTTTATTAATTTTCACATTTCAAATGCAAACATGTAAACAACACAATCTGTTTATGCAAATCAGTAGTTTTACCAGAATTAAAACACATCAATCAAGTTCATCAAACCTGTGCTGGAGGGCTTCACCTGCTTCAGGTGTTCTCAATCAGGTTTAAATCAGGATCAGACACGACTGCTGTTCTCACGTTCACTTATTGTCCACAAGAGGGAGCTGATTAACTGATCTCATGCCTGTGCCTGTTATTTTAGTTATGAGTAAAAATGCTTAATATCAACTAATTTAAACAACTAATTCATTGATTATATTTGTTGACAGTGATTTTGATGCATACTTAATTATCAAGTGCCACAATATGCTGGGGGTCAGTTTAAATGTTTGGAGAAAAAGCTTTAAAAAATTTTAAAAATAAATTAAAAGTGGTTAGTAAATGACTTAATTCTAAAATAATACTAATCATGAATGCATGAATGAAATAATTAAATAAATAAATGTCTGATTAAACTAAAACTACAAATTTCATTAATATTGATAATTAGAAATGAACATAAATCATACAAGGAGCTAAAAAAACTGGAAAAAAGTACTCAAAAACATATCAGGCTAAAAGTACTTAACACTTAAAACTTTTAAAAAGTACAGCTTTTTATTAACTTAAATAGGTACGTTATTGTATTATGTTAAATTTGTAGAGAAAAATGCATACATTTTTTTCAAGTGGTCTCTTATTTTTGTATTTTCCCCACAGCTGTAGGTATGCTTGGTTGAGTCTGAGAGTTACACAGATGTAGTTTGGGGTGCAACAGTACCAGGATCGGGACTGTGAACAAATGAGAGTGCACAGGGAGAGGAGCAGGCCCACACTGATAAATGAGCAGAGAATTCCACACATAGATCTCAGGGTCAGGGCATTGTGGGAGAAAGACGTCTCTGGGGGATGAGCTGCCCTTCAAATACAGATAGAAAAAGTCAAATATGAAAAAAAAACCACGAAAAATAAGGTATCACAAAACATTGGCATTCTAGGGAAATGTCCAAAACATGCAACAGAACAGTATAAAATGAAGGAGAAAGGACTGGAAAATATTGTCTCTATTCTGCACGATATAAAAAAAATACGACATTGTGATATTTTGTTTTAATGCGATATATATTGCACTATAGATATCATACATGTCACCAGATGGTTTGAATAGACTTGGATGATCAAGTCAAGTGTTTTTGTATGCTGTGCATCTGCAGAAAATATAATAAATTGCAAGCATGTATAAACATGACAGAGCACAAATAATATAGAAATTGAACAAATGTAAAAATAACATGGTCATCATTGTATAAATAATTTGATCCTTTAATATCTTTGTTTTTTAATTTAAGGAATTAAAATGATCTAATCCTGCGATGTGACTATTGCAGATACACACTTGGTGATGTTGATGCTTAAACAATATAATGTTCAGCTCTAGTCACTATGACTCAAATCCAGAGCATAAAGATGCCAGATTAGTGTGTGTATGTGTGTGTGTGTAGGCCATTTATACTCACCAAGTGTGCTTTAAAAGTGAACTTCGTAACAATTGTTTGAGTCACATAAAACAAAATGAAAAGACTTAGGAAAAGCTAATAGAACTGTATAAATAGACACTTGCCTCAGTCATTCCGACAGTTCCTGTCATCCCTTCACCCTCCCCTTCCTCTCCATAATTTCATCCCAAGGGAAACCAGGAAGCCACACCTGTCTTTTCCATATCTGAGAAACATAAACCTTAGCAGGAATTAATAACTGTCATGATTATTATATCACCGTTCATTGCTTTATGAATGCAGCACACACACACAAAAGAAAATAGTTTTTGTCAAAAATTAGGTATCACGTTTTACTGTCTATATCAAATTACGTATACCAGGGTATCTGCAGGGCCTTAAAAGGTCTTAAAATGTCTTAAATTTTAAAAACCAAATTTTAGGCCGTAATAAGTCTTAAATTCACTGAAATATTGTGTTGTAGGTCTTCAATAATTTTAAACTGGTCTTAATTGTTTTTTTCACGTGCATTTAAAGCTTTACACAATTGGGCCAACACCCATCCAATCATCAACAATAAATTTCAATAAAGGTTTTACGAAACGTTTAATCTTTAACCATTTACTCATTGATATGGTTTAATTATCATCCTTACATTAACACTTGTGTTTAATGTTTTTTTTTTTTTAAGGTTTTAACTTGGCTATTAAAAAATCTTTAACGTTTAGCCTTGTGCAAGCCTGAAATTTCATTCATTATGGTCTTAAAATGGTCTTATAAAAGGGTCTTAAAAAGTTTTAAAATTGACTTGATGAAACCTGTAGAAACCCTGTTACAAAAGTGGTTTATTATTATACATATAACATATATCCAATGAAAGCAGAGCATCTACTTTAATGTTTCAAATAATGTTTGTAAACCAAAACATCAAAATTCCTTCATCAATTTCAACATTTTTTCATCCTCTTTCAGTGGAACATTTATGCATAAATTAAACAACATTCTTTGCTCGTATTACATTTTATAATATATTAAAGTATTAAAAACTAAAAACATATGGGCAAATCCTGGATAAGTACATACACTGGGCGTCTAATGATGCTCCGGCAAGGCCACAGTCCTGTATATAGTTCAGTTCTTAACCTAATTAAATGCACCTGAACCAGCTAATCAGTGAGTGTCTGAAACATTCAGACACGTGGGTTAAAGCAATAGTACCTAAACTCTGCAGGACAGTGACACCTCTGGCAGACACATTTTATTGTAAGCAGAAAATTCCTACACAGAACAAAAATAATCATTATATTTACTTTTTTTTTTTCAAAGTAAGGTGTTGCAAAGAATTAAATTGGCTGAAGTTAAACAAACAAATTAAGAAACAAACTAATTAAGTTGAGCATTACTGTATTTAATTTGTTTAAACTCAGCCTATATAAATGGTTTGCAAACACTTACCTTAATCTTTTTAGTAAATCCAATGATGAATAATCTTTTTATTGGTATCATCATTACTTCAAGCTTCAGTGGTTGGGTTTCAATCCTAATGTGACTTATTTTATTTTATTCTTTTTTATTTATACATTTTTCAAAGTGTTAGCACAAAAAATAAATCACAATTAAGTATTGGGTATAGGTACATTTTCATCAGGTTGTTGGAGTGGCTTACTATTGTATAGGTAACCTAAAAAACAGTAAATAAAGCAAGCATAGTGGAGACATCTGATTGGTCACATGGGTTTAATGTTCACCATGTGAGAGTTTATTCTGCAAATGCATTTCCATCTCTTATTATTCACATTGATGCAATTAGTCAAACCAGCTCAAATTAAAGTAAAAACAGTTTTGTTTTGATTAATGAAGGAATTTTTATTCTAAGCGTGGCATTAACATCACTCATTACTCATGAGATGCTTCAAAGTGTGCTATAATGCAGAGTTATGGAAACCCAGTTAGTGTCATGTGATGCTTCAGACAGAATCTGAATATGCTGACTCTGTGCTTATGTAAATCATGTTGTTGCTATGATCATGTTGTTTAAAAACAGCTGTTCTACTTATTTTTATATATTTGTGCAAACTGACACAAAAGTTTTTTTTTTTTTTTTTTTTTTACAAATTCAGCACAATGAATTTCTTAAAACTCTTTTACACTGAAGAAAAAAAGGTTTTTAGATTTTTAGATATGTAGATTTTTTCAAAACATTTAAAAGGTTAAAATGGTGAATTCTTGTGGTTTGATGGATAGCAACAGTTAATAAGGATCTCAGCTGAGAAGTAATCATCTTTTTTTTAAAAAATCTCATTATTGAAGAAAATTCAACCTTTTTCATCAAGTGGCTCTCCGAGTTCTTTAAAAAAAGGCACATGTTCTTTCTAAGGCATGTATCATGATTAATGTTGCTTATATTAGAGATTTCAACAATTCTTCAAATGACTTTACTTGGGTAGATGATAAAAGTTGATGACAAAGGTTTTGGTCCAAGTATCTAAAAACTCATTCTAGCACATTCTAAGCAAGTAAAAAAAATAAGTAAAAAAATCATCTTAATAGTAAAATAATTTGCCAGTGGGTTAAGCAAGATACTTTCATTTCAAACCAAAAACAAGATTATTTTACTTGCCTTACTGGCACTGTCTTTGAACGTCTTATTTTCCAAAACATAACTGTTTCTAATTTATAATGTTTATTACTTGCTTAGCAAATGGTTTTTTTACTTGGATGTTTTTAGTCCAAATTTCTACAAATTCTTAAATCAAGAAGCATTTTCTGTGTCATTAAAAATCTTGTCAGTAATAGTGAACAAATTTAAATTGTTTTAAAATATATTCACTAAAACATTACATACAATTATATACAGTTGAAAATTATTATCCCTCCTGTGAATTTTGTTTTCAAATATTTCCCAAATGATGTTTAACGGAGCAAAGAATTTTTCATAGTGTTTACTATAATTGTTTTTTTTCTTCTGGAGAAAGTCTTGTTTTATTTCAGCTAGAATAAAAGCAATTATTAATTTTTATAAACTATTTTAAGGCTAATATTATTAGCTCTCTTAAGCAATATATTTTTTTAGACTGTCTACAAAACAAACCATCATTATGCAATGATTTGTATAACTGTAAAGTTAACCTTTAGTTAGGCCTTTAAATGTCACTTTAAGCTAAATGCTAGTATCAAGTATCTTGAAATATATATATATATATATATATATTCTGTACTGTCATCATAACAAAGATAAAATAAATCAGTTATTAGAAACTACTTGTTTAAATGCTTATGTTTTTAACTTTAACTTAAGTTTAAAACTTCTGTACATTAAACAGAAATTGGGGGGAAATACACAGGGGGCTAATAATTCAAGAGGGCTAATAATTTTGACTTCAACTGTATTTATTAATATATATAATTAAACTTACTCCTTAAACCTATGGAGGTCAATGCAACATGCAACAAATGATCTATTTTGACACTGAGCCACAAACTATATTGATTTCTTTTGATGGTTTCTGTGATCATCAGTCATTCCTCTGATGGATGTGTTTTACGTGAGTTCCTCTCCTCTGTCTTTGTGCATTACCTCAAAGCAGTAGACTGGAAGTGGCCTTTGGCAGCACCCGCCTACACTCCCCCATTTCCTCCTATAGAAACACCCAGATCGCCCAGCAACTGTTTCTGGGGAAGCTCCTGTTGGCAGCTTCCTGTGCCACTCCCACCCTGTGAACAAACACCCCATTTCTGCTTCTGACTAATGTGCATCTGAAGAAGAAAAAAAAGGTCGTTTTCCGCCTCATCTTGCGCTTTCCTTCCTCCGGTGGCCGTCTTTACACTTGACGTTTTGAATGTATGTTGGGTCACAGTGCTCCCTTAAAGTCAGGGTGCAGGCTAATAATAATACAGACCAACTGCATCCTCTTTTTCAGACATTCCCGGGACAGGGGCCATCAAAGGAGACCCAACCCAGCAGCGGAGTCACGCTGTGCTGAAGACGGCTGGTGTGGATCTGCTGGCTCTACAGTAGCATTTAGAGATTATCTACAAGCTATCAGAGAAGAGAAAGATAAACTGCTCTTCTGCAGGTCACAGGTCATTTCTAAATACATACACTCTCATGTTTCGTTGTAGAGATTAAGTGGCTGTTCTTGGTAAACTTTCCTATAGTGTAAAGTTTTGGTACGGTCACTTGCAAACATCACAATTGAAATGGCAAAATTGTCAGCAATAATCTTTGGTTCATTACATAACTCCAGGTACTTTTACATAAACAGCTGAGGGCAAAATTACTGATGCAATATTTATTTGTTTAATCCTGTGCAATATTTATTATTTTTCAAATATTTCTCAAGTGATATTTAATGAATTAAGAAATTTTTCACAATATTTCCTATAATATCTTTTCTTCTGGAGAAAGTTTTATTTGTTTTGATTTTTTCAGCTAGAATAAAAGCAAGTATTAATTAAAAAAGTATTTTAAACTCAATAATATTAGCCCCCTTAACCCTTCTATTGGATTGCATTTCTTAACGTCTTATGTCGCTAATTAAAACACTCAATGCATTTTTTTTTCAAAACATCCCATAAATTCTAAAATATCAATCTCTACCTAAATAGGTGATATGTCGGTTTATAGTAAAAGTACCAGAATTAATGCATATACTATGAAACATCAGACTATATGAAGTGTAAGAGCAGTTTATTTAAAAACAATCAAAATAAAACTTTTTGAATACTAAATCATCTTTTTTTGATGCCATAAAATATTTCAGATTCTCATTGAACATTCTTTTTTTTTTACAGTAAAACCAAAATCAAGTGTAATAGTGCAACAGAATTATGTTTCATGTTTTTGTTAACCAAGAGTGCTGTGTGTGTAAACCATTATTTAAAACATTAAAAATATAGTATCTTGTAAAATTTGTTGTAAAATATTACATATTGTCATTATTACAAAGATAAAAGAAATGTTATTAGAAATTAGTTATTGAAACTAATATGTTTAGTAAAAAAATAAATGATAAATAAAACAACACGTTTTTTGACCAGTACTTTATACTACATATATATATATATATATATATATATATATATATATATATATATATATATATATATATATATATATATATAGACACACACGCACACACACACAAACACACACGTGATCATTAAGTGCTTTTTAAAAAAATGTTTTAAGTGATTAAAAAGGTGAAATCTTGTGGTTCGATGAATAGCAGCAAGTAATAAGGACGTCAGCTGAAATGTAATCATCTTTTTTTAATAAATCTTTATATAAATACCTTAATAATGAAGAAATTTCTATTTTTTAATCAAGTTGCACCCAAGTTCTTCGAAAAAGGCAAATGTTCTTTCTCAGGTATGTATCATGGTTAATATTGCTTAAATGAGAGATTTCAACATTCCCTTAATGCCTTATAATTGCCTTATAATTTCTTAGTAGTACAATTAGTACAAAAAAGTGAATCCACAAATATGTTTCTGCCTCATCATGTGTTCTAAATTAGGACCTTAACCACAAAATATATAAGAATAGATTTAATAAGGCTGATGCTGCTCTTTACTATCTCTAATAAAGATAACAAAGACCTTTCCACAGCTCACAGTATATTTGAAGGACATTTATTGACTCACTGTCATCATGAGACTTGTTTTGCTGTGGTTCAGACTAAAGCATTTCACACTGATCTGTCCGCGGGTGCGATTTAAACGAGGAGGTTTTAAACATATCAAGTGCTTTGGAATAAAATAAACAACGGATTTGTGGAGAGTGGTACTGTCAGCAGGCGATGAGGAAAATAAACTAGATCATAACAGTGGAGGAGTAAGCCATTCACACGCACACACACACACACACACACACACACACACACACACACACACACACACATATATATATATGTGAGCTGCTGTTTTTTCTCTGGGGATGGACTCCGCTTGGTACCAGGCTTCTGATAAAGAGGTGCAGAGTGTTCTGTGTCCTGTCAACTACTAAATCACACATTCCCAACGATACACACACACACACACACACACATATATTTATCTCGGACTTAGAGAGAGAGCTCAAGCAAGATTATGCTAATGTTATTTTGATCATGCAGAGACACCATGCAGAATGTCTGACATGTCAAGCTTGTTTTGAATATGCTGCATTCTTGTTCATGTCACACACACACACACATGCGAGCACTGACCACCTGTGTTTCTGAGAATGTGTTCAGTCTCTCCACTTATCTTATCGTAACAAGTCCCCGCTAAATGAAATTCAATGATTTTTATGTTTTTAAAAGGTTTTTAGAAAGTTGTTTATATATCCTGTATGAACGTAAAGTGAGACTGAAACTATTTAACTCCAAAAGTGATTAAAAAAAGTGTATTAAAATGTATAAAACACTTTTTTAAAGACTAGATGGAAGTAAATACAATATAAAAATGAAATAAATTGAAATTGTCACTATATTTTGAAGGCTAGGACTGCCATTGGGATTGGAAATGGAAAATTACTAAACCACTGGAAAAAAAATTGAAAGCATTTTAGGTAATACATTAAGTAATTAAAATAAATACATTTATCTGTGAAATCCTCAAAGGCAAATGTGCATCGAAGTAAAAAAAAAAATTCAAAGTTAATTAAATAAATAAATAAAATAAAAAGTACATTTAAAAAGCAAAATAAAACATTTTACCAATATGAGTGTTTGAGAGGTTGAGATTAAAATGTGGAATACATTTGCAAAATAATAATAAAAAAAGTTATTAAAAATAAAATTATCCTATCCATTTATCCACATTCTGAAGTCGTGTGGTTTTATTTTAAAATTTAAAATATTTGTATGCAACTTCATTCAACCACTTTAAAAAGGAAACGGTCACCTACCCTCTGTGAAATAAGTGAAATTAAGCCTTCAGAAATATAGAAACATTTAAAGCTGCTTGCTTTTGTGCGTCACAAAACATGCGATGAGAAATGATTTCAGATAAGATGGAATGCGAGCACTGGACATCTACAGTGCTTTACACATATCTGAAGAATGTGTGTCATAAATCTGGAGATAAATCCAAAAAAAGGTTTCAGAAAGTGTATTCATCATGGGGGAGGCAGTGCTTGGCACAGCGTCTCAGCGCATGAGTGAATGAGCGCCACATTCTTCAAATGCTCTTGCCATTGTGGCTCTTTAATGAGGCAGGGTGACAAAAGCCTGGCATGGTGGCGCTAACGGTGGACGCCAGGCCTGAAGCCGGCATCCAGCCTGCCACCCTCGAGCTGTTTAACATGCCGTCCGTCACCTGCCGTGCTCTGAAGAGTGTCATGAGGGCAACCCTCCAAATATCTGCTTCTACTCATGCTTTAAAGTATGAGAGAGAGAGCTGGGTGTGTACGAGCGACTACTTTTAATACTGTTTTTGAATGTGAGGATGATTTCAATTCCACATCATTTGAAAAATAGACTTAAACATAAACGCTGGATGCTAAAATTGTTATAAATTGGTCTAAAAATTGATAAAAGAAATTATATAAAATAGATAGACAGACAGAAAGACAGACCGATTTTAATTTAGATGTGATTAAATTCAGTTAATCTTTTGGCAGCACTAATAAATTAATTAAAAAATAATATAAATTAATAGTAATTAATTAAAACTAAAATAACACAAAAATAGGTATGCATTAGACAGTAGAATTGAATTAATAAAACTAGACAATCTGTAAAGATTGTCAACAACAAAAACAACAATAAAAATCCTTCAAGATCAAATTAATAATATTTGAGTTTTGGTCTAGCATTTTTTTTTACAGTATTTTTTATCTTTTTAGTCCATCCAACTAAATAAAAAAAAATTATATAAAAAAATAAAAATAACTACATTTTTAGTGGATTTTAAACATGCATTAAATAAATAAAACATTCATTAAAAAATAATATACATTTAAACATGAATAAAATAAAACAAAACATGCATTACATAAATAAAATAAATGTAAACATGAATAAAATAAAACATGCATTACATAAATAAAATAAATGTAAACATGAATAAAATAAAAAAAAACATGCATTAAATAAATAAAATAAATGTAAACATGAATAAAATAAAACATGCATTAAATAAATAAAATAAATGTAAACATGAATAAAATAAAACAAAACATGCATTACATAAATAAAATAAATGTAAACATGAATAAAATAAAACATGAATTAAATAAATAAAATAAATGTAAACATGAATAAAATAAAATAAAACATGCATTAAATAAATAAAATAAATGTAAACATAAATAAAATAAAACATGCATTAAATAAATAAAATAAATGTAAACATGAATAAAAAAATAAAATATGCATTAAATAAATAAAATAAATGTAAACATGAATAAAATAAAATAAACCATGCATTAAATAAATAAAATAAATGTAAACATGAATAAAATGTAATAAAACATGCATTAAATAAAAAATACATTCAGACATGAATTAAATAAATAAAATAAATTTAAACATGCATTAAATAAATAAAACAAAACGAGTTTAAACATGCATCAAAAAAATAAAACAGAACATGCTTTAAATAAATAAAATTAAATTTAAACTTATATTAAATAAAATAAATTTAAACATGCATGAAATAAATAAATTAAAACATGCATTAAATAAATTAATGACAAAATAAAAAAGTGGTGCAGTGGCCATTAACTTCATTTAACTGTGATGTTCATGCAGAATGATATTTGAAACCTCAAAGCAACATGTTCTTTCTATTGGCATGAGAATGCAACTGATGAGCAGTAAAATCAAAAGAAAAAAAAAAAAAAAACAGTCCACCAATAAATCCAGCACAACACAACTGAGAATCAGCATTCAGGCTTGACAACATAAACACACACACACACACACACACACACACACGACTCACATCTAAGAACAGAAGCCGAATGCAAAAAGACAATTAAAAGGCCAAACACACTATCATAGCATCTATTTTAGGACAGACGGAGACGCCCCGGAAGCACAACCAACACCCATGTGTTTATCTGCCTTTGTCCAGCACCCAAAACATTTCCCCTCCGCCATTCACAACAATCCCAAATGACATGACAGCAGTTCTGTCACTCTTTCCTATAGTTGGAGTTAGTGCAGTAATTAATGGAGCAGAAGTAGATGGCCATTAGAGGAGGTCACATAGGTCCATCAAAGTCAAACTCAATGGAGGTTTTGTGTTTTATGGCGCTGAAAAGTAAACATGAATTTGTCGGGGTGAAGCAGGAGGCTTTTGAAGTTTGGTTGTCTTGGTTTTTGGCTGGTGATTGTGGCGTGTTGTAGCCTTCACAGCAGCTGCTCTTATACACACAGCCTTCAGAGAAACACACACACTTACACCTGACTTTTTCAGCTCTTTCTTGGAAAATGAAAATGAAAATAACATTGCATGGCAATATAGTAAAAAAAGATTTGATTTACATACATTTAAAGATATATAGCATTGTGGGAAAAAAATTAAATTTACATCCAAAACACATACAATTGATTTAATTTCAAGATTTAAGTCTTTTGTGTCTCCTGAATGTGTCTGTAAAGTTTTAGTTCAAAACAATCATCAGATTATTGGTTATACCGTTCAGCACATTGGATTTTCTGCTCTAAACACTATGAAGATGTTTTTGTTGCCTGTGCTAGTTCACCCTGTCCACCGTTCCCACGTGCCTGTCAGAGTGTTTCTCAGTCTCTGGCTGCATCAGATAAACAGCACAGTGACAGACATGAAGGAAGCAGATCTCACATAACGCCTTTGAGAAATACTACAGTAAGAACTTTTCCAATGATTATTTGATGTATTTGTTGTGGAGCTAATCAGTGCTAATTCTTTGCACTGATTTTGCACAGCAATTGTGACAGGAAACATGTTAATGTCCACTGCTGTATGGATATACGTTATGTTAATGTATAAAATAAACCTGACTTAACGTCTACAAACCAGGATTGAAGCGTCTTCTTTTATAATTGTTCGGACATGCAGCTGTGGTGAAAGTAAAGACAGTAAAATTGCTGTATTTATTACAAACATGCACTGTTTTAAAAATGTTTTTAACTTGTAAAACTCGATGATGACTGATGATCACAAAGAGCTGAACAGAGCTTTTTTATCCCAGTTGCTTTGCGCACATCCTGTCTTGTTGATATGATTATACGTGTTACTATAGAGACATGTTAATACGCGGCTGTCAATCAATTCAGTGGGTGGGGAAACCAAACTCCTATGTCATGTTGTGGTGAGCCCTTAAAATGGGAGGGATTTGGATCCTATTTTACGTTAGGAAATTATAAAAAGAAACTTATTATGTATTAATAACAAGTGAAAACAGCTAATTGTATATATTTTAGCATATTGTTAACATAATATGTAAACCAAAGTTGGGAGAAATATTTATTTTACAGTTTATGATTAAAATCTTCTATCTAGGAAATAAAATGTTTACATTTTCTTAAAATAACATTGTATGACAGTAAAATTACACATATCGTGAACATTTTTAATTAGATAAATGTAAAAAAAGAATGTAATGTCTTGGTTTCATTTATTAAAGGATTTGCTACATAAGCCATGATTCTGAACAACAAAGGTGTGTCATTAATAGTACATTATATATTATTATTATTGTGTGTGTTATTAATTAAACAGGTAATTTCATTAAGTTAGCATATGGTTAACATAATATGTAAAACAGTCGGGAGACATTTATTTATTTTACAGTTTATAATTGAAATTATAAAATTATTTAATTTTATAAGTATTATTTAGGCAGTTCATTCCACTGTGGCGTCCTCTGATTAATGGGGGGACTAAGCCGAAAATAAAAATAAATGAATGAGTATTATATTTATATATGTATTATATATATATATATATATATATATATATATATATATATATATATATATATATATATATATATATATATAATCTTGGTGAATATCTATAGTTACAAACACATATTACTATAGTTATAATAATAAAAATATATCTTGTATTATTATTATGGCCTCTATCAATTGTTTATGAATACAGAAAAGCTCAGCATCTTTTATATTCAGCCTGATCTCACGAGGAAACGTAAGTATTTTACGTTTTATCAGTTTAGTGGCTACTTCATACGAGTTCAATCATTCATTCATTCATTCGTCGGCTTAGTCCCTTTATTAATCCGGGGTCACCACAGCGGAATGAATCGCCAATTTATCCAGAAAGTTTTTACGCAGAGGATGCCCTTTCAGGCGCAACTCATCTCTGGCAATCGTACAAGTTTATTTGTACAAAAATGTACGATTTTAAAAAGGAGGCTAGCACCCCTAACCTAAACCGTCATGGGTGCTGAGCAAATCATACTAAACTGTACGAATTAGATCGTACGAATTTATAGGAACTTGCCACTAAATCAAAAAGTTACGAATTGCCGTGAGATTGCGTTATTATATTACATAATAAATAATATTACATGGTAATAATACGTAATATTGCAGTTATAGCAAATATTTATCACAATATTACAATAAATGTTTTCAACCACGTTTCTGAAGGACCTCCAGCACTGCATGTTTTGGATGTCTCCCTTGTGTATCACACCCAGTACAGCTCTTTCAGTCTCTGCTGGTGATCTGAATCAGGTGTGTATGATTAAGGAGACATGGAAAATGTGCAAAACTGGTGGTCCTCGAGGAATGTGGTTGAGACCCTGAGCTAAAGGCTATTGTTATGATCATAGACCACTGATTATAACATTCAATTAAAAAATAATGTGCAATATTTGTCAAACATATTTATTATTCTCTAATAAAGTATTTAAATATTAATAAACAACGAGTTTAGATTATTTGCATGTCTTTGAAGTGAAATAATTGAACACAATCATAAAATGCTGAGTAAAATGCTTATTTTTGAAGAACGTTGGGGGTTTGCATCTGAACTCTTTCAAAGACATATGTATAAACACATTATTACATTGTTAGACAAGCTCCTGAAGTAAGGCACATCAGATGTAGAGTGGTCAGTTATTGATGGGCCAGTCCTGTATGGGACCAGCCCTCTGTGCCCCGCATCCCCCGCATGAGCTACAGATCTGAGAGCAGTTTTCAGAGCCAGTCACTCCAGACTCCGCATTCAACGCTTCACAATCCGCGCAGCCAAGGTAACACACCAAAACTTTGCCCCCCAAATCCCCGGACCCTCAGGGTGGGGTAGAGCCGCGGAGAAGCTGCAGAGCAAACAAAAGCTCTCCTCTTGGCTTTCAGATAAAAACATACCAGCTGTGAAAGAAAAAAAAAGTCCTGATACAAACTCAAGACGAAAAGCGGAACCGAGCGGCGGATCCACGTTTCCCATGCTAAACTGTTGCTGAAGAGACTGAACGCGGAGAATCTGAAAATGACCATCACGTGGACAATCATCGTATTAGGTGAGTTTACCTTCATATACGACGAGGATGCAGCTTAAATATAAACTCGATCTCTTCAGTAATTAAATATAATGTTAGTCGGTTAATTTGAGGGACATGTGCTGGGTTTATATTGATGATTAAGTTCAATCAAGGTTGTTTGTAGCCTATAACTTGTTTGAATATTTCACATGTGTATATATGGCGATATAACGCCATGATTTAAACTATCAAGGGTTAACTTTAATTCAGTTTCTTATGAATTAAAGTAACGCACATAAACAGTCAGAAATTCAGTTGTACATAATTTTTGTGTGACCAAACACTTGCCAGCTAGTAAAGGAAGCTTATTGAATCTCCCCAAAGCAATTAGGGTTTAATAATGTTTTCAAAACGTTGACTTCATTAGGTTAATTATGGGATCATTTATTAATGAAACGTTTTTATTTGGACGATCCTGCAGCATCTTTTAATGCTGCTACTTATAGTTTTCTAACACTCACAAATCCTTAAATTCTCTAAAAACAAGTGCAGGATTTTAAACTGTTTAAATGCTTTTAAAGTATTCAAAACCTCCACATTGTGAACTTTTTTTTAGCTTGTTTGTCTAGTTCTTACTATTATATTAGTGTCTTTTTAATTTCCCATGAGTGTTTACAGAGAACAGTGGTTCCCATGTACAGCACTGAAAAACAGAAGTAATGTTTAATTTAAACTAATTAAAATGGTAATGTTATACATCATTTGTTTGTTTAAATTCAGCCCAAATAAATTGTTTATAAACACTTAACTTAAAAGTATTTAGTAAATAATCTTGAATGATTTTATCAGTGAGGTTTGATTGATTAAAACAATAATTGCTCTTCCAATGCAGTTCATTTGATTAAGTGTGAACTCAGCTCAACTAAAATATGAATTAAATACAGAACAAAGACTAGATGAATAATATATACAAATAAATAAATGATAATCATATATTTATTTATTATAATAAATGAGTTATATACACTTTGATGTCTGTAGAGTTGCAAACAATTCATATGGAATTTAATCAAACATATTCAACTCAATTTGTTTGATTCAATTCAGCCCAAATAAATTGTATACATCCACTTAACTCAAATCAATTAAGTAATTTCAAGGAATCATCTTTGAATATTTTTTTCAGTGTATCGGACACATTGTCATGAGACCCACACCCAAAAAACTATTTATTATTTGTTCAAACTACTTTTCCAACACAATTCCTAAGGTTTTTTTTTGGGGGGGGGGGCAATTTTTATTATTATTATTTTTAATCCACTTAAATTTATAAAAACAATTAAGTTAACTTAATCGATTTGTGTTGGAACAACATGAAGGATTTGTGTGGAATCCAACATTTTTTTAAGTGCAAGTGCACCTGTTTTTTCTCATAGTAGTGACGTCCATTATAGTTCAAAACAGTGGAAAAGCATCTTCATATGTGTGAAACTAACAAATTCCTGGTGCTGTTTTAATTCCTTTACATCATAGGTCTCAAACTCAATTCCTGGAGGGCCGCAGCTCTGCACAGCTTTGCTTCAATCCTAATCAGACACACCTGATCCAACTAAGACCATTCTTAAACACCTTAATTAGTTGGATCAGCTGTGGTTGATTAGTGTTGGAGCAAAACTGCAGAGCTGCGGCCCTCCAGGAACTGAGTGTGAAACCTGTGTTTTACATGATATAGATCCTTCAAAAGATCTTAACTAATAAAAAAAAAATGAACCAACAGAACCATAAATCAATTGTGAATGCTCCAAGTAAAATAATGACGACATAAAAAAATATATAACTCTCTTAATAATCCTCTATATAAATTCCCTTTTCAATGCACACCAGCTGCTTATCCGTTCATGACTTAGTTATCATAAAACAACTGGCTTTTTTGCTGATCTAACAGCACCTGACCGCATGTGTAGGTGTGCTCTGGGAAGTGCAGCATCTGTGCCACTTCACATTTCTGTCAGCTGCTTTGCTGAAACCACAAACAGCAACACAATTACTGAAGAAGTATTTCCCGGACTCAAGAGGGAGGACTGTTATTCTTTAATTATCAGCGTGATGCACCTGCTCATCCAGACATCAGACTGACGCTTATTAGAAAAGAGCTCGTGTTTAGTCTTGTTTGGCATCATAAGCATTTCTGACTCTTGGTCAGCCTTTTTTAACGTGGTCTGATTGGAGGAGTGAGGATGCTTTTCTGGATTTCAAGGATCCTTCATCCATGTTTTTTCCACAGACTATTTGAATTAAGTTCGTTGTGTGTTGAGTTTTGACGACAGGTTGTGTTATGTAAGGTTTCCCTCTTCCTCAGTGTTTAGTTAGCCAAACGAAACAGATGGAAACCAAGTATCCTTTGCCAATGCTCTTGTCTGGATGCGTTCATCTCACACAAGGCTTGGGAAAGTGCAGAACAATGGCTTGGAAAATGTTCTGTCAACATCCCTGTTCCCAGGGAAGGTGTGGCTCTTGTTTCCTTTCTCCTCTTGCTCTGTGTCTTTCTACATCTCTAAGCCCAACTATCTAACTTATTTCTCTGAGAAAGAAATCTGATTTTAAAGAATGACAGGCTGATTTACCAAGAGATGATCATGTAGGTGGTGTTTTTTAAAGAACTTTTTAAAGACTCTCTTGAAGGAGGCTTGACTTGTATGGGTTTCTTTCCTGTGTTGTCATACTTCCTACTGAAACAGGACGTCTGGGTGAGGCATAGCAAAAGACTTTATTAACCAAGAAGTCTGAATATTAAAAACATCATTACATAATAAAATGCATTTTTTAGTGGATAAGGCTGGATTTTTGGATGTTAATGCTTAAAAGTTTGAGGTCAGTATTTTTATTTTATAATATATATGTCAAAGTATTTAGTAAATAGTCTCCTACACGCGGCAGGGTTGTGAATATGGATAAAAATGTCATTTTAATATATATTATTCCAGCAAAATATCTTCTGTCATAAACACTTTTCAGATTTAGTATGGTAATGAATATGTACATGGAAATTTTATTTTATGGTACATTTCTGTAATTTAACATCCATTACTTCATGATTAATTTCTGTAATTTAACGTTCGTTATTTTACACTAAATATTTCTATTATTTATTGACCGTTACTAAAAATCCGGCACCCCAGCTGCTGGAAAAAAATAAAATAAATTTGTTTTTTACAGTAACCTCTGTTGCAAATCTAAACTCAGGTGGAGCTGGGGTGGAGGAGGGTGTCCAAAAATGCACCACAGCTTAAACAGCATACAATAATGCAGAGCATTTAAACTGATGAGGAGCAAGCTCATTGGCTGCTGGGGAGACAGCAACCAATCTCCTGCGTCATGTAGTTAATGATGCAGGAGCAGATTAGGTGACCTATCAGCCTGTGTGAGCATAGAGTTTCATGACAGACATTTCCCTCATTTAAAATTCATTTTCATTTCACAATTGTAATTAATTTTCAGTTTTTAGAAAGTTTGCATCATCAAAAAATTTAGAAATCTAACAGACATGCTGAGGCTGTGCTGTTTTCTTTTTCCAGGAAGCTTTGATAAAGTTTAACAGAACAGCACTTGAAATATAATTTTTATAATGATTTCTTTCATCGTTCATAATAATTGAATGCTGAAGACTGACATTGTGCAAGTTTTTAACTATATTGTTAAATCCTCCTGTTCTCATTCATTTGTTTTTAAAACTACTGTATTTTCTTAACTGTTAAGAAACGTGTGCACATAAACTGCATTAGCCATGAAGCTGTACACAAAAGTTCAACCAATCCAGTTGCAGCCAGCACAGCATGCTAAAGATCTTTAGTTCTGTCCACTGTTATGCAACATCACAAATGACGAATTCAAGACTACCCTCAACATACTTTCATAAAAACTAATGTAACAATACACATGTTTTATATGAAATATATTGTTTCAGTCACCACAACCAACAGTTTTAAATTTACAATGCGCTTACGGCATGGGTGTTCAAACTCGGTCCTGGGGGGCTGGTGTCCTGCTGAAATTAGCTCTAAATTACTTCAACACACCTGTCTGGAAGTTTCAAGTATATTTATTAAGAGATTAGCTTGTTCAGGTGTGTTTGATTAGAGTTGGAGCTAAACTCTCCAGAACACCTGCCCTCCAGGACTTACACCCCTGCTTTCTGTCATTGTAGTTCTGTCCCTTTTTATATCCATAAAGTACTTGTAATTTAGTTTGTTATTATGATTTTTAAATATTTGAGGTGTGTTGTGAGTCTCTCTGCATTACAAAAAAACTATAAGAAAAAAAAATGAATGTAAAAAGTTAAAACTAAAAAGTGGGCGGGCACTAAGGCACTCTTGCACACTCCCAATATTTAGAAACGCCCCTTAGTGCATCATGAGTCATCGATTAGATTCTGCCAGTTTTCCCAAAAATGGTGTTTATTCATCAGCTAAAGCTTTAATTTGACAGATACACTAAACTATGACTATTTATTAGCTATCATCCACAAATCTCCAGTTTGGCTTATTAGTATGGCATCAAGAGGTAATGTAATCCTTTGTTTAACGTGGGAGTGTTGGAATGCTTTATGTAGAAGACGTGTAAGTAAAAGCGAGCGAAAGATTAGCCCTGCCTGTCTTGAGATTCCAAAGATGGCCCCTTTGTCACCCCCCTCCTCCTCCTCCTCAGATCTGCTTATTATGTATAACGTCTGCAACTGGCACCAGCGTGGTCTTCAACTCCCTTCTCTAATACCCAACCTCCCCTCCTTAACCCACAAATCCTTGAGTTTATCACTCAGATACCCCGTTTAACAGCTAGTATTTCTTAGAAGACAACAATCAAGCTCACACCACCTCATCACTAAATCCTTTCAAAAATGTAAAAAAGTGGCACTTCAGTTTTGATAGCTCACCCTTCTAAAAAAGCTTGATACAGTTACATTAGTCTGCCGTAATGACGTCTGATAGTGTGTGTCATGAGGAATGCGAAACACAAATGCCTGCTGACCTTGTTCGGCCTCT